ATTATCATGTGAAATGACTATTTGTTCAGATCTATCCTATTTACTGTTGAATAGTGCTCAGTAGATAGGGTTTACCTCACACTTGGGTACAGTTGTTATATTCAGAGTTACAAAAGAACCAAAATTCTACCATCAAATAAAAATGTAGTATGGGATTCCCATATTGACAGTGCTTTAATTCAACAAACATGGTTCAAGTATGATGCAAAACACCATAAACAAGTCTTGCAGCACCTTAAGTTTCAGCAAACTAGTGTCCATTTTCACCAGGTAGACCTGTTTTGAGACCTTAAATCCCCAATAAGGTAGGCTAATTTTAATTGTGTGTGACAAAAATGTTTAAATATTACTTGGCATTTTTGAAAAATCCAAATTAACCTCATTCTAAAATGAAACCCAGGGTGCTCTACACCAGTGGTTCTCAACCTGTGGGTCCCCAAATGTTTTGGCCTTCAACTCCCAGAAATCCTAACAGCTTGTTCTTGAATGGCTGGGATTTCTGGGAATCATAGGCCAAAACAGCTGGGGACCCACAGGTTGAGAACCACTACTCTACATATGTGTGTGTGTGTGTGTAGGACATCTGTGGAATCTGTGTCTACCTATAAAAGAGAATAAATCTGTTTTATGGTGCAGATTTAAGGTAAAGGTTTCCCCTTGACATTAAGTCTAGGCGAGTAAGACTCTGGAGGGTAGTGCTTATCTCCATTTCTAAGCTGAAGAGCCGGTGTTATCCGTAGACACCTCCTAGGTTATGTGGCCAGCATGACTGCATGGAGCGTTGTTACCTTCCCTCCAGAACGATACCTATTGATCTACTCACACCTGTACGTTTTCAAACTGCTAGGCTGGCAGAAGCTGGGGCTAACAACAGGAGCTCAGCCCATCCCGTGGATTCGAACCTCCGACCTTCCACTTCTGCAGCAAGTTCTGCAGCTTAGCGGCTTAATCTGCTGAGCCACCATGGCCCCTTTTGGTGTAAATTTGTATCAGGCATGGGCAAACTTGAGCCCTCTAAGAGTTTTGGACTTCAACTCCCACAATTCCTAACAGTCGGCTGATAGGAATTGTGGGAGTTAAAGTCCAAAATACCTAGGGATCCCAAGTTTGCCCATGTCTGATTTATATGACGTGAAATGGGGGGTTTTGTAGTTCAACATCTTAAATTTCAGGAACAAGCCTCACAAAGATGACATTTAAAACCACTCTTGATCATTTTTTGGTTTGCTGCAAACTCTCACCTAGAATACATTTTTATCAGACCCTCTCATTTACAGAAACAAACAAAAGCTTATGACTCAAAGACGGGTTTGCCTTGAGAAGGCAGAGAAAATGGGCTTGGCAGTAAAACATATGGTATAGTATTCTTTTCTTTTTAAAAGAAATGCCATGTTGTCACTGAATAACTCCTTATATCCCACTGGATACTATACAGTCAAACTACTTCACTTGCTTTCCGATAATGTAACAACACCAATAGTAACTGAGCTGGAATAAGTATTACAGTGTTTCCTCACTTATTGTGGGTGTTACGTTCCAGGACCACCCACAAAAAGTGAAAATCCGTGAGGTAGGGATGCTATATATATAGAGTGAGTTCTGAGGGTGAGGCAGAACTGAGGAGAGATTTAAAGGCACCACACACCTTTTTTCCGCTAGGTGACTCTGCTTTGCAATCTCTCTTGATTGGCTGCCTCTCCCAAGGGAGAGGGTGAAACGCCCTTCCACACTCCATCGTTGCCAGGAGGCGGGATTAGAATGCCCCTCTGGGCAATCGCAACATTCATAAACTGGGAGGCAAAAACCCGCGAAACAGTGAGTCCGCTAAAAGCAAAACGCGAAGTAGCGAGGGAACACGAAAGGAGGGCCTACTCGAGACAACAAATTACTATTTACTTTAAATTGCAGGTTTTCATTAATGAAGTTAAATGAGAGACACAAGCCAACATCAATGTCAAGACTACAAATATCACTCAATATGCTTGATCTGGGAATGTATCAAAATACTGTCAGTAGCAACAGGAAAATATAGAAGAGGGTCTTGGGTGAATCTACACCAGGCATGTGCACACTTGGGCCCTCCGGGTATTTTGGATTTCAACTCCCACAATTCCTAACAGTATATTGGCTGTTAGGAATTATGGAAGTTGAAGTCCAAAATACCCGGAGGGCTCAAGTTTGCCCATGTCTGATCTACAGTGTAGAATTAAAGTAGTCTGACACCACTTTACCCACCATGGCTCAATCCTATGGTAATCTTGGGAGACATAGTTTGGTGAGACACCAGCACTCTTTGGCAGAGAAGGCTAAAGACTTTGTAAAACTACAACCCCTATGATGCTATAGCAGTGGTTCTCAACCTGTGGGTCCCCAGTTGTTTTGGTCTTCAACTTCTAGAAATTCTAACAGCAGGTTAGGTAACAGCAGGCTGGGATTTCTGAGGGTTTTAGGCCAAAACACCTGGGGACCCACAGGTTGACAACCACCAGTGGTTCTCAACCTGGGGTCCCCAGATGTTTTTTGCCTACAACTCCCAGAAATCCCAGCCAGTTTACCAGCTGTTAGGATTTCTGGGAGTTGAAGGCCAAAAACATTTGGGGACCCAGGTTGAGAACCACTGCACTAGACTATAGCATTGAGTCATGGAATCAAACTGAATTCATTCTACAGTGTAGAGATGCACCACTTCTCAATTCCAGGTTCTATTTCCTTAAGAGTTTTAGCATTCAAGCCTTTTCATATCTGAACCATCCAGCATCACCAGAAATAAACATCCAAAAACATCTGGCTCAAAAGACGAGGCTGGCCTTGTTGACTTATGAGGGCCAGACTCCTCCTGGAAAGGCCACCCAGGGCCCTTCCACACAGCCCATAACCCAGAATATCAAGGCAGAAAACCCCACAATATCTGCTTGAACTGGGTTATCTGAGTCCACGCTCAGATAAAGTGGGATTTTCTGCCTTGATATTCTGGGATATAGGGCTGTGTGGAAAGGCCCTGGGTGGGCTTTCCAGGAGGAGTTTGGCCCCCCGTAAATCAATGAGCCCAGCCTCTTTTTCAGGCAACACATCTGCCTTTCTAGTGAGATAATCGCCACCAGGTACACCTTTGTAATGCTGGAGAGTCGATCCCTACGCAAGGTTACAAAACAACATTTCTCAGACGGCTACAATCTCTTGGAGAAAGAGAGACCGCTTTGCTGCAAACCCCAGCCCTCCATTTCCCCGCCAAACAAGGGGCTTCATTCAGACACACTGCCTCCTTTCTATACAACCTTTTAGATTAGAGGCTAGACAAAAACATAGATGTATGGAGAGAGAGGGAAGGAAGGAAGGAATCAGGTGGTCCAGCAGAACAAAAGAACATGAAGCAGAAGGCACTTGGCTCTAGGTGTGAGTGTGCATTTCCTCTCCACACACACACACACACACACACACAATTCCTCCTTACTCACTGGATACCCTTCAACCTACCAACCCACCCCTCTGGGCATCTGATCTCCGTATTCCCACACACAGAGATAAAAATAGATATAAATGCACACAACACACAGACATAAATATATACATAAAAACACATACAAATACTAATATCTTTTTTCGTATTAGACACCCATAGACCCTTCATACCCGCCCACCTACCCCTCTGGGCAACCTGGTCTCCATAATTACACACACATACATATACATAGATATAAACATACACACACATATAAATATATACATAAACACACACACAAATACCCATCTCTTTATTCTTCTCATTAGACATCCCTATATCCTTCAAACCCACCCACTCCCCCAATGGACAAACTCCATATTCCCATATACAGACATACATATATAAGCACACACATATACATACACACACACACACACACAAAGATATATATACTATAAATTAAAAAAACACATACATAATATTTGTATATATATGTGTGTGTGAGAGAGTTTGTATACACACATACACATAAACACTATATATAAACATTTTATGTGTGTTTGTATATGTAATATGTGTGTATATGTGTTTGTATACACATATATACTATAAACACACATACACAATTTTAAGTGTTTGTATATATGTGTGTATATATGTTTGTACACTCACATACACATATATGTACAGTATATATATATATATAAACACACATACACAACATTTATGTGTTTGTATATATGTGTGTGTGTTTTATATGCACATATATACACTATATATAAAACACATACACAATATTTGTTTGTGTATATGTATATATGTGTGTTTGTACACACACATATATACACTATATATATAAAACACACATATACAATACTTATGTGTTTCTATATATATGAGTATATATGTGTTTGTACACACACACACACATATATATACACTATATATAAAAACCCACATACACAATATTTGTGTATGTGTTTGTATATACACACATATATACATTATACATATTAAAACACACATACACAATTTTATGTGTTTGTATATATGTGTCTATATGTGTTTTTGTATATACACAAACACACATATATATTATGTATGCAAACACATAAATAAATATAGGTACTGTTCCATGATCAGGGATGAGGTATACTTATATACTATATATAAATATAAACACCTATAAACATGTATACATGTATACTTCCCACACACATTTCTATTACACAGAGAGAGACAAACAAGCCTCGGTGGAGCACAAAAGAGACAACAAACCAATGCACCTGGATGTGCACAAAACAGCAGAGGGAGAGGATTGGGAGAGGGGGGAGCATAAAGGCACCAAGGCTCTGTCATACACAAACAAACACACACACATACAAAGCGACCCTGCATCTTGCAAAAGGGAGGCAGGAGAATGGGAGGAGAGAAAGAGAGGATGGAGGGGGAGGGGGGGTTGCAAAGAGCTGCTGCAATCCGAAGGCGGGTGAGAAGGAAGGAAGGAAGGAAGGAAGGAAGGAAGGAAGGAAGGAAGAGGATGGGGCGCCTGGCTGACCTTTCTCTCCTCCCTCTCTCTCTCTCTCTCCAAGGAGTCGGCTTGCACTCGCCCAGGCTGCCTGCCTTTCCTCCTCGCCAGCTTGGTCCCCGTTGCTGCTGACAAGCCCAGCCTGGCTCTCCTGGCCGTGCGGCGGTGAAGGCTGCTTCTGCTTCTGCTTCTGCTTCTGCTGCTGGGCCTGGCTCCCTTTCACGTGACGCAGCCACATGATCTCACAGCTCGCCTTGCGCTCAAAGCCCCGCCGCCGCCACTGCCACTGCCACCGTCTCGCCTGCCGCCGCGCTCCTCTGCTCGCGCGCTCGCTTTCTCTCCCACAGCAATGGATGGAACGCCGGCGAGCAGCGCGCCTCTGAGCGCGTGCAGAGTGCGCTTTCGGCTTTGGCCCCGGCGTCGCGTGGGTTAGAATCCTAAAGGGTTAGGATCCTCTACACTGCAGTTTAACACCACTTCAATTGCCATGGCTCAATACTATGGAGTAATGGGAGTTGTAGTTTTTGACAAGGCCAGAACTACTGCTCCAATGCTCCTATAACATTGAGCCATGGCAGTTAAAGACCCACCCAAGGCTCTGTCTATACCAGGCATGGACCCTAAGGCTCTATACCAGTGGTTCTCAACCTGGGGGTCGGGACGCCTGGAGGGGTCACGAGGGAATGTCAGAGGGGTCACTAATGACCACCAGAAAACAGAGTATTTTCTGTTGGTCATGGGGGCTTTATGTGGGAAGTTTGGCCCAATTCTGTCGTTGGTGGAGTTCAGAATGCTCTTTGCTTGTAGGTGAACTACAAATCCCAGCAACTACAACTCCCAAAATGTCAAGGACTATTTTCCCCAAACTCCACTAGTGTTCACATTTGGGCATGTTGAGTATTTGTGCCAAGTTTGGTCCAGATCCATCATCGTTTGACTCCACAGTGCTCTCTGGATGTAGGCAAACTACAACTCCAAAACTCCATGTCAATGCCCACCAAACCCTTCCAATATTTTCTGTTTGCCATGGTAGTTCTGTGTGCCAAGTTTGATTCAATTCCATTGTTGGTAGAGTTCAGAATGCTCTTTGATTGCAGGTGAACTACAAATCCCAGCAACTACAACTCCCAAATGACAAAATCAATCCCCCCCCCCCCCACCAGTATTCAAATTTGGGCGTATTGGGTATTTGTGCCAAATTTGGTCTACTGAATGAAAATACATCCAGCGTATCAGATATTTACATTACGATTGATAACAGTAGCAAAATGACAGTTATGAAGTAGGAAGGAAAATAATTTTAGGGTTGGAGGTCACCACAACATGAGGAATTGTATTAAGGGGTCGCAGCATGAGGATGGTCGAGAACCCCTGCTCTATACAGGTCTGGGCCAACTTGGGCCTTCCAGGTGTTTTGGTACAACGGGTGGCAGCCAGGTTACTAACTGGAGCGACTTACAGGGAGTGGTCAACCCCCCTGTTTAAGGAGCTCCATTGGCTGCCGTTCATTTTCCGGTCCCAATTCAAGGTGCAGGTTCTCACCTACAAAGCCCTGAATAGTTTGGGACCCACCTACCTGCGTGACCACATTTCTGTGTACGAACCCACGCGATCTCTTCGATCATCTGGAGAGGTCCTGCTCTCGCTCCCACCCCCTTCACAGGCGCGATTGATGGGGACGAGGGAGAAGGCCTTCATTATAATGCATGCGCAAAACTAATATATACGCAAGCACACATATACACAGACTGGGCCACAGCAACGTATGGCAGGGGATAACTAGTAATAACCAAAAAAATCCACATTAATTTACAACAGCCAAGTAGAGTTCCCAAAATAGTGTGGGGTGGTTGTGTAGTCAAACGATGGACACTGGAATGGACTAGGAGAGTCCAAATACAAAATAGTTCTCAACCAAGACCCAGTAGTAATCTCTCATTATCTAATCCGCCTTTCCATATGCTTTCCACATCATAGTGCCAGTGTAGAAACAGGCCCAATACCAATTAATATATTGTTATTTTTTGAAAGCAATAGCATGGATTTTTTTTTATCGTGTCAGAGGCAAATTGAGAACACTGCAAGTTGCCTCTGGTGTGAGATAATTGGCTGTCTGCAAGGACGTCGTTCAGGGGATGCCCAGATATGCTACCATCCTGTGGGAGGCTTCTCATGTCTCCACATGGGAAGCTGGGGCTGACAGATGGGAGCTCACCTTATTTTGCAGATTTGAACTACCAACCTTCAGGTCAGGAGTTCAGCCGACACACGTGTTTAACCCAATGCGCCACCACAGCTCCACAGGGTGGACATTGAGTCTGTGGGGTTCCATGCTCAAACAGGAAGACAATGTAGCATCCCCCATGCTGATAGAAAGTTGAGACATGTTAATGCTGAAGACATTTAAAGCAGCTTGTATGCGACAGCACAGTGGTGTGTGTGTATAGATATATATGTATGTATGTATATATATACACACATACATAATGATACAGAACTGTAGTATGTTGTATCTTGAGTATTGCTACACCCTTAATAGTTTTCTTAATAGTATTGTAATGTGAAATAGTTCTAAACTTTCAGGGATTGTGCATGTATCATGTAATCCCTTTTCAGTGTGTTTTAGTATACAGTAATGTGTTTTGTTGATAATAGGCTTTTCATTTTTCCTGGAGATTTAAGAGCATCCCCTTGCTCCCTATATCATTACTATGGCACTAAATCTGATGACACATCTATTGATGGAGCTAGCATATCTCAGCCTTTGTTGTTGTTGTTGTCGTCATCTTGGAGGAACTCTTGAAATAATGTTGTATACTTAGGGAACCCCTGCATAAAAATTATATCCCATCCCTCAAATGTTAATATTATTTCAATTTCCTGCAAAACCCCAGCAAACCCTCACAGAACTCTAGTTGAGAAATTCCTTTTTCAAGTCTTATATAAATATAATGGTGAAATGAACTTCCTTTAAGGAGAAAAGGCATTTCCTCTTTCTCCTCATTGGAGTCATTCTGCCTAACCTCATAGAATTTAAGGCAACTCAATTGCAACCCATGTCCAACGTATTAATTCTGAGGGGAAAAAACACACTTTTTAATTTAATGGCGAATGAAAAAGAAAACATTGAGGCAATGACATATTTTCACGATCTCAAGAATTTTCTTGGCCAACCAGCATGAAAAATAGACCAACACCCATGGAAGTTTATAGTGAGATACATCTGTAGGTAAATAAACTCAGTAATCACAGTTGGGATGGAAAAATTCAGACTTTCAAAGCCGCAAGCAAAACTTGGCAGTTGTGGAATCAGATGAGAATGACAAAACCAGTGCTTCAGGTTGTTACATTAATGACTGAGTTGTTTACAGATTTGCTGCTTTGATAATCTGGATTATATGACAGCGTAGAAGGGGCCCAAGTCAACCTGTCATCAACAGTCCTGCTCAGGACTAGAAAATTCAGGACATTTTCCTCCTTCATTTTTGCCCATTCATCTGGAATGGGGTCTTCCTTTTTTCCTGCTGCCTTCTGCATTACCAAGTTTATTGTCTCTTCCAGCTATGTCTTGTCATGATATGACCAAAGTACAGCACTCCCTGTTTAATAAACTTGGCTTCTTGAGAGAACTCAAACTTGATTTGCTCTAAGGTAAAGGTTTTCCCCTGACATTAAGTCCAGACATATCCAACTGTGGGAGCTGGTGCTCATCTCAATTTCTAAACCCAAAAGCTGGTGTTGTCCATAGGTACCTCCATGGTCATGTGGCTGGCATGACTGCATGGAGTGCCGTTACCTTCCCACCGAAGTGGTACCTATTGATCTACTCACATTTACATATTTTCGATTTGCTATCCCAGCAGAAGCTGGAGCCAACAGCAGGAGCTCATGCTGCTCCTCGGATTCGAACCTGTGAACTTTCAGTCAACAAGTTCAGCAGCTCAGTGGTTTAACCCACTTCTCCATTTGATTTGCTCTAGAACCCACCTATTTGTCTATTTTGCAGCCCATGGTATCTACAGAACTCCAACCAAGTTTATTTCTTTCACTGACCAGCTTTCATAACCATACATAGAAATTGGAAATATGGGGAAATGGGTGATCTTGACTCTAGTATTCAGTGCTATAATGTGACACTCCAGAAGCCATTTCCTTCATAGCTGCCCTTCCAAGTCCTCAGCCTCTTCCACACTGCCCCTATATCTCAGGATCTGATCCTAGATTATCTGTTTATCCCAGATTATCTGACAGTGGAGATTCATATAATCTTGTTTAAAGCAGATAATCTGGGACCAGATCCTGGGATTTGGGTAGTGTAGAAGGGGCCAAAGTCTTTTGATTTGTAACCACAGTTTCCATTCTGATTAATGACTGAGCCAAGGTATGGAAAATCTACTTCCTAGCATTTGTCTCATGAATTCACAGGGTCCACTCGTTTGCTTCTTGTTCTCTACCTGTTCCTATTGGCCACATCTCTCATTGTTGTGTCTTGCTTCAGCCACGTCGCATTTCAAATGGTCAAGCCAGCGCATTTTAGGTCTACCGCGCGGCCTGGCACCTGCAACTTCCATATTCAGCACGGTTCTAGTCATGGAGCCCTCATCTCTGTGTTGCACATGTCCAAACCATCTCAGATGGGATTTCTTAATCTTCTCAACAATCGGAGCAACTCCGAAGATTAAGTGCACTATATCGGTTGGAATCCTGTCCTTCAGGGTAACACCCCTTGACCACTTGACCATTCACATTTCCATAGTGTGCAGAGTTTGCTTGATGGCCTTAGTGGAAAATCTTTAATTCAATGTCTTCGTGATATACTTTAGTTATGTAAGTCAACTCTGGTCATTATTTTAGTTTTCTTAATGCTTAACTATAAACCTGACTTTGCTCCTTTTTCCTTGATTTTCTTCAGTAATCATTCCAAGTCTTTTTTTTTTATTTCCTGCCAATACTATGGTGTCATCTACATATCAGGTTCCTTCCTCCAGTTTTCATATTTGCTTCCCCGAGTCTAATCCTGCTTAAGATATAATATGTTCAGCATATAAATTAAACAGAAAGGGAGTTAGAATGCAACCTTACAAGATTCCCATGCTAATTGGAAGCATTTCCATTTCTCCTTATTCTGCCTTGACAACTGCCTCTGGTCCAGAGTAGAGGTTGCACAACAGGATAATCAAATATTGTGGCATACCCATTTATTTAAGAACAGCCCATGGTGTTTCATGATATACAC